AGGCGTGAGCCACCGCACTTGGCCAAAAGCTGAGGTCTTACTATTAGTTACAAGTGTATTGCAAGCACACTGATTTTGAATTTTCATTAAATATTTTTTATTAATCTTGTTATTTTATTGAATGCTTGCTATGTGCCCAGCATTATGCTAGGAAATTGTAGACGTGTCAAGGGATAGCTAAGGTACAGGTCTTGTTATAGAGAAATTTAGTTTTGAAAGAAAGGCAGGACTAACATATGTGATATAATGAAATAACAGTAGATTATAAAAGTGAGATAAAGGTTTAGAAAAGAAAAATGAATGTATGTGGGACACAATTCTAGGAGAGTGTGACTTACGGTGGTGTTTGAAAGATGCCAGAGAGGAATGCATTTTACTTAGGAACCCAGTGTGAGAAGAGGCCTAGAGGTGAGAACCAGCATGGTATGTTTGAGAAAACTGCTCAGTGAGAGTGGATGGTTTATATTGGAATGTAAGGGAAATAGGCATAATTATGTGGGTTGGTTGTAGTTTGGAGACACCTATGTGGGAGAAATCATGGTAGATTAACAAAGAATGTGTTTTGCATAACATTCATCTGACAGTGGTGTTCAGGATATGTCAGGAAAAGAATCTCAAGTAAGAAAACGGAAGTAGGCTTTCTGATTTTTTTTAGATAGAAGGTATTATGATAGCTTAAATTTTGGTGGCAGTGGAGACAAGGCAGAGACCAATCTTGGTGACACATATTTTATGGGAGGAAAAATAGAAGATGGTGGCTAAGGTTTTGGATTAGGACGTGTGAATTTTGGGTAGATATGAGTTTGAACTCAGGATGAGGTTCCCAAATGTAGACTTCCTATGTGCTGATAGAAATAGAAGATTAAAATTAAGTTAGTGCTAGATTTTGAATTTGGCAGTGAGCATAATTGTGCTCATTGATTATTTTTAATGTTCATATATTTTCATTGGCTTTTGAGTTATAAATATGGATATCGTATATTCTTAAGACTTATAGTTGAACATTTGAGCTTATCTTTAAGGAAACCAAACATATTATGTTCTTATTTTACAGACTTCAAGGGAAATAAAGATTTCAGGAGCTATTGGACCCTGTGTATCTCTCAATTCTAAAGGACCCTGTGTATCTGAAAATGTAAGTCGCATTCATTTTTTTTTTTTTTAACCCCATACCTTAAGGACAATAGTGAGTCACCCTTACTCTAAAAAGAAAATACAGTTAATTCTCAGAGCAGCACCAACAAGGACCTAGGGTGGCAGCCTATAGCATTCTTTTCAAATTATTTGTGTGGGCTGTTTTATGTGGTTCAGTTTCCACTGGTAAACCTCTGTTTGTGTTTACTTTCTGCACACCCTTTTCCCATCCACTCCTAATTAAAACTTCTGTGCTGTCACCAGTCTTCCTTTTTATGCTTAAGTATGCTTTTTTGCCTCAGTGTGCTTAAAAAATAATTCTCATGACTTGGAAATTTGGAGATGTCTAAAAGTCAAAATTAATTCTAAATTGATTTTTATTACTAGAATTTCAAACAAAGTAACCAAATTAGCCAGATTTAAGTTTCAATTTCCTTCTTTCTCTTTATCTCCTGTAATGGAGCTATTGTGTACTCTAAAATGGTAGAATCATATAGCTATAGAAAGGATGATGGGACAAATAATACAAAGTATTATAGATAATCAGCTTTAAAAATGACAAAATTAAAAAATTAATATATAAGCAGCTTGCATGGTAAAGATCTGTCTATATCTAAGAAGTTTTCTTGGGAGTCTGACTGCTTATAGTTCTGATCCAGAGAATCTGTATTCATGTATGCATGTATTATGTGTTAAATCAATATCTTCATGTACAGATCAAATAGTTGGATAGAAGGATAAT